ACTTTTATGACCCTATGTCAACAAGAAGTACCCTATAGATTTTGATGAATGGGTTTGCGAGTATGAAACATTCATTTTTTAAGTAATATAACTACAAACTTACGATATTTGGATTTTGTTCTTTACTCCTTAATCAATAATAAATTAAAGGATAAATAATTTAATCCTTGCTTTTTGCCAAATGTTATGTTTCTAGGTTAACGGGAAGTACCACGTTATAGATGAGTTAGTTGGCGGGTATCGAAATATGTGACATAAATGGTTACCTATGATTTTTATAGCGATACTCTTAAGTATCGCTATAAAAAGAGCTTGCTTTTTTTACACCTCTGAGACCTTAGTTTTCAACCAAATTCACAAAAAGGAGAAGGTTCTCAATTCGACTGCTTTCTATGCGTGTTGTTGTTCATCCTTTCTTCCAAAGTATATATATACTTAAAATAAAAGTCTCTTTTGATTATATAATCAATAGATACTTTAAGTTCCTTATTCGGTTAGAGGGACCTCGTTTTCAATCGTTTGTTTTGGAAAAAGAGCATTTGACAAACGAATTTATTGCTATGCGTCTAAAATAAGCGAGTATTTATTTTATATTAATTTCACTAGATTTATTTAGGTTAATGCAACTGTCACAGTGAATTATCTAGTCCAGTTCTGAATAAAAAAGTCAACCGAAAATTCTATATAAGCTAAGCCGTTATCTGTTCTGTATATAGGCCGAAAAATAACGTCTGTTTTTAAATCCAAATTGAGGTAACTTCCTTGATAGTGGAGCTAAAATTTCAAATGTTCCTTGTTTAATTTACCCTCTCTTTCTTTGTGTGCATTAAAAGTTATTTCTTGTTTTCATCACAACTTGCTTATCGTTTGGATAATTTTAATGTTCTGTTTACTATCCTATATAAGATTTAGGAATTTATAGGGTTTTGTTAACTTTATAAGATTACACATTTGAAACGTGGTAGAGCCATGCTGCAGCTATATTAATTGTATAGTTGTAGCACGAATGTGTCGGCTCGACCGGGGAAGGACCACACTCTCACAGAATATCAGCGTAAAATAGCTTAATGCTGCTGTATTTCGTGTGGTAAATGTAGAGAACCGGAGACCTTTTTATTGCAAAAGAGGCATTTCATCTTAGTCCTCACGGCTGACAACAGCGTTTTGATTCGCAAACCAATATATATGTAGAAGTCTATGGGTCACAGCAACCACTTATAATCAGGTGGACTATGTGCTCGCTTGTCACCCTTATCCTATAAAAAATACTACGGTTCAAAAACATGATTTATTAAATATTTTTCCTATTTTTTACTCTTGATCTTACTCATCTAGATCAGACACTAAATCCGTCTTAGTGAATCCATGTCTTAATTTTAAGGAATACATGATAAGAAGCTTATAGCTAATCATGACTTGCAAATCTGTCTTCACGTGTCGATTTTATGTAAAGCTATAAGCGAACGTTCTCGAATGATTTACTGGTTATAAATAGTAGTATTTTGTCTCACCGAAGATAATTTAAAGATACGTAAGAAATCTTTTCCATTCTGAAGTCGATTTGTATCTAAAAATAGAATTCTTATAAATATTCATGTTCATACTTGTTAGTAATCTTTATATATATTACTACTGAACTGATTTCAATGAAATTTTGTACACTCTGTGCAGTTTGGTCCAAATTAAGAGATAGGATAATTTTTATCCCGATAAGTGACCCTCAATTTTTTATTGCTAATCTCAGGAGTTTTTTTAGGAAAGCAAATTATCGTCGGAAAGGGCAGAACAACGCCTGCCTGGTCAGCTAGTCTTTATATATAAAAATTACGTGTCACGTTGTTTTTCCGCAATGGACTCCTAAACTAATGAACTGATGTCAATGAAATTTTGCACACTGTGTGCATTTTGGTCCAACTTGAGTGATAGCTGATAAATGACCCTTAAATTTTTTTATTGCGAATTTAAGGATTTTTATAGGAAGGGTCGTCGAAAAGGGCGCAACAACGTCTGCCTGACGAGCTAGTAATAGATAAATTGTATATATAATAGTAAATCGATATTTTATATTATTACTACTAAAGTCCTTCGGCGACGGCGACAACTTTTAAACAATCAGAAGCTATAAACTGCGAAGGAGGTATTAAAGTTTTTTTGAAACTGTTATAAGCTAGTAATGTTCGTGCGAACACGGAGAATTAATCACTCGATCTAACCGTCCTGACTGCTACATACCTATTTTAAAGCTTATGCGATAAGATCGTAGTTAAGCTAGCATGTAGCATGAAAGATAAGAAGATCACAAGAACTATTTACAATTTGTTTTTGCAAACATTTGTTTAAAAATGTTTGTCCAACAAACCATACTAAGGGGCATGAGTCTTTTATCGTATTGAATTCTTATCGCCATCCGCTTACTTTGTATGACAAAATATATTTCCATTCGCAAAAAACTTAACGCTCAAACTTATTACATCTTTTTTTTAAATAATATAAACTCAAAAAGTTGTTATCATGTGGGTAGTTCTTCCGGAACGGTAGTATCTATGGGTGTTCCTCAGGGCTCAATTCTTGGTCCCTTCTTGTTCTTAGATTATATTAATAACTTACATTACTTGATAGCGAATAACCATGATTTCGTTTTATTTGCGAATGATACTTCGGTGATACTCTACATAAATGCCAATTGTTAAAATATGACGAAGTGAATAATAATGCTATATCGAAATTATTGCACTGATTTGAAGTGTATTAATTGTCCAACACCAAAAATGTTAGACAAGTGAATAATAGGGTGCTTTTAAATGGGGAGGGACGGAGTCTTTTTGAATCCAATGTATTTCTCGGAATTACATTTACAGTTGACAAGAAGCTTCATTGGGGCCACCATATATCTAAACCAGCTAGCAAACTTAGTTCTGCAGCGTATGCTGTAAAAATATAAGTAGCCTTACATGTTTTGAAACAGCTAAATTATAATATTTTAGTTATATCCTCATCTTAATGTCGTATGGAATCCTGTTATGGGACATTGAATCTATCTTCGTTTCAGTCACAGTATGTTAGTAATACACTAGAAACCATAAAACTTATAATTAAATCGCAACTTTTCGATAATGGCGACACCGTGTGACCATTTGCGTAGCGACACCTGGTGAACGTTATAATCAACCGTCATTGATGCGATGGATGTGTTTCTTTCAAGGCATCGCTGTCTAATTTATTTGTACAAAGTAATTTGAAGTTTTTATTTTATTTTTTGTATAGGTTTGCTTATGGGGCAAAGGTACAAAAATATTGAATAACGATTTATGTAAAAAAAAAAAAGTGAATCGCTGAATGGCGGAATTTATTCATACTTAATTGAGACTTTTATTTGGTTTTATATGGCTTATCGTAGCTTATCGTAGAACATGTGAGCAAATTGCTCGAAGAGGGTAGGGTCAAGAGTACTCGGATACCTAGACGTGCATGTATGAAGAAGATAATGAATCTGAAAGAAGCGAAAGAGGTATGTAAGGATCGTGACACTTGGCGATCTGTTCTCTCTGGCTACCCCGTCAGGGATTGTGCGTGAAGATAAGTATGGCTTATCGTATTGTATTATCTGTAATTCTCTTTCGTCCTTTAATATATTCTCGAATCTTATGGTTATAAAGCGTGTAATAAAATAAAACTCGCTAATAATTTTGCGAAGCACGTTTCGTTCAACCCGTCTCAGCGAACAACCTGATATCGTCAATGGTTATATTATTAAAATGTCAGCGTTATTCTTCCGCGGACACAGGTGTCTGACACAAACTAGTTTCGCATCTTTGACGGATTATTCAATCGACGTTTATTAAGTTGGCTAATTAGACGTTCTTAGCCCCAATTTAATGTTTCTTTGATGTTCTCTCCTATCCGACGTAAATAGAACAAAACTGGTGATTGTTGACTGACGTTAGAGTGACTTGATTGGTTTTTAATGCAAATTTTCCGTTTGGTTTGTTCTTGTTAATTTTTTATATTTCTTTTAGCATTTATCATTGTTAATTACTCATTAAGTTTTGGTATAATTTTCTAGTATTATAATTCTTTCTTTAAATTTATAGAAAATCCGATGTATTATTTTTAATCATCCTGTACGTATTACATATGGTAAGGTATACAATAAATATGGTTTTCATGGTGAAATATTTCCCAGAAATATGTTCATTGTCTTCTTCTACATCAGCCCGTAAAAGTACACTGCTGGACGTGGGCCTCTCCCGTTGCAGGGAGAAATAAAAAGATCGTTATTAGACATTGTTTTAAATAAACTAATAATAAAGTTATGAGTATATAGAGAGGTATGTATCATATCTAAATCTATCGATTTAAGCTTCAAATAGCTTTTAATATTACAGAATGCATGAACATCATCAGTAATATAATGTATCATCGGCGAATTTAAATGAAATATTTATTAAAAGTTGCTAAATTCTCGTATAAAGAATGTGTTTACATAATTTCACGTTTTTATGTTTAAGCTTTGGGTGCAAAAAGACAACTGGATGGTCTGAATCAGCTTTACCTTTTGATACTTGTAGTCGTGATGCGTATAGTAGATAGTTTTGCAGCGTTAATTAAATCATAGTATTGATTTCGTGATGTACGAGTAAAAGTTTGCATATTTGACATCGTACACGATTTCGTTGAATACTTTTTCATATCTTAACTTGTCACATATACAGCTCGAAAAATTAATAACCAAAGGGGAATAAAGATACCCATTGCAGTGTTGGCGACTTCTCGCTCCCTAGGCACTTAAGAACTGAGTTTTGTGATTATTTATAGGGAGGCTGTGTTCCGCAGTAATTGCTGCTTGCTTGTGATGGAGTATAATAACGATGATGATTAATATCGTTTTTAAAATCGAGACACTATAATATTTTTTTTAATACAATGTAATTTACCTCTATACAAGAATGAATGTATCTAATTCAACATATAAATATAAAAGTTAAATAAGTTTAACTTACCAAAATCGCTAAGATGATCTCCTTGCGCAGGGTCCCTCTTAATGATGACATGTTGAGCTCCTTGGAGGGCTCGTTTCAAAATCTCCTGGTCGACTCTTCTCCTCTTAGCTGTGGAAATGATGAATTTTAGTTTTGCGGCAATGGTAAGCAACAAGCGACAGCAAGCCAAAGTCTGAAATATTTATTCAGTTTACGCTTATTTAAAGTTTTTAGGAACTTCAAAAGTGATATTTAGAAACTTTAGGGCGTTTTTCCCTGCTTTTATATATTTTTATACGGCGATAATTAAATCTAACAAAATAATAGTTGGATGGAATTATGTTAGTGTAACAATTTACGCAGGTCCTTATTCTCAAAGAAGTCGCCAATTTAATATAATTTAAATGAAACTAATTTTACGGATTTTATCGCGTATATTAACTTATTTTACATTCCCGACGTTTCAAGCACTTTACAGCACCCATGGTCACGGGGGGGGACTGAGGTGTATGACGTCCCAATGTCATAGTTAACCACGGCTACCTCCAGATTAAAATTATTAATTTTTGTTCCGATCTACGCAGTATGAACTTACAGTATCATGAAGTCTTGCAGTTGTATACTTGGGTTGGGATTTAATTTTATTAATTATGGGATCCCAAGCAGATGGTAGCACCCAGCCATCTTCTCTATTGAAATTAGGATGTTTTTTGATTTCAATAGCCTCGCGAATCATCCTTGGAAGGAATCGGTGTTCTTTAGCGAGGATTTGTGGTCTATCAAATCTAATGTAGTGACGGGGGCGATCCTGTACATGTTCACAGACTGCAGACTTCCCGGAGCGTCTATTCTTCACATCCACAAATTATAATTATATCCAGCAAAATAACCTTCTTTTCTCTTTCTTCTATACTTACGTTTACATGGTTAAAGCCATAGAGTGCAAGACTAACACAGGTAATTAGAGAAAAACTCGAGCTTAAACGCAAACTTTACAATGTGAAAACTGACCATATTGTTGTTTACACAAACACAAATATTTGTATTATTTATTTCCATTTGTGTTAACAACATAATGTAAGTTTCGGGTGCTTATTATGCTTGGGATCTCATAATAAATTGATATGAATATGATAGGTATATATTTAAAACCAGTATATATAACCAGTAGTTCAAAAAAGCTATCAATATGAATGATCTATAATATTACACTTATTTTTATGTAAAGTGGTTGGATAAGTGTGAAAAGTAGTAGCATCTATTCGGTAACAGATGGCGTTAGTAGGTAGATTAGATTTTGTGTATATAATAATACTCCGTGGTTTAGCTTAGGTATACACACAACACACGAACGATTATTATTATGATCTTTTTAAAAGAGTAGTTATTATCTTTCATCATCATCATCATTATCATCATTACAGCCCTTCACAAGTCCACTGCTGAACATAGGCCTCCCCCAAAGAATGCCACAAAGCACGGTCCTGAGCCACCTGCATCCATCGACTTCCTGCATGTCTTACCAGGTCGTCACTCCATCTCGTGGGGGGACGCCCTACACTTCGCCTACCGGTACGAGGCTGCCACTCGAGAACCTTTCTTCCCCATCGGTTGTCGGTTCTTCGAGCTATATGGCCGGCCCACTGCCACTTCAGCTTACTAATCCGTTGGGCTATGTCGGTCACTCTGGTTCTACTGTATTATCTAGTATTATCTTTCACGTATGCATATTTATCATTTAAGCAAACTTAATATTTATCTCGAAAGTTTAAAGCTTCAAAGTACCTAATAGTTTTGTTTTTACATTAATTTATTGCTGGCGATTATGTTTATAATGTACAGGTTATAATGATAATATTACACATAATATAAATTAGGTATTTTGTTAAAAAATATATAACGTTTTTTTCACTCTGATCTCATTTGTTGCTAACGATACAAAAATATTTTCCATGCATAATTTATCAATAAACAACGCACATCTATGAACACACGCAGTCATCTGTCCTGGGGTTATTTCTTTTATTAGTTTATTTAATTTATATTCAGTAATTTATTAAATTATTGAATATCAGGTCTTTGCATATGAAATTGTTATTTTGTATGGGAAAATTTAAACAATTTTTTTTCACAAAATAAACATTATTTCAAAATACGAGATTTAACAAATTTTACCTATTAACACGATTCTTGCTATTTTGCCTTTGCTATAGAAGTCTACTGACCGAGATGCTTTTTAAAGGCGTTATTTACTGCTTCTTCAAAAGTTAGAATTTTTGCCTACCAATATATATAATATAAAGATGTTTGAATCAATAACGCACAGTTCGTTCGTTAGTTCGTTAGTACTAGGCCTGTATACGTGTGTTGAGATTTGAGACGCATTCTCTCCACGTATAAGTATTTTCTTACAGAGACTTTGGTTATAAATATAGCGATATTACAGATAAAAACCCAAAGAAAAAAATAAATGACTGATTTTGTAAAAGGAATAGAATTATATTATGCATTAACTATAAAGTTAAAGTTACAGCCTATATACGTCCCACTGCTGGGCACAGGCCTCTTATCACTTCTGAGAGGGTTTTAGGGCAAGGAAATGTCCCCGTGTTGCCCCAATGCGTATTGGCGAACTTCACATATCTTCGAATTGTTTTTTCTTATTTCTCAGACATGCAGGATGTTTTCAAATAAAAAAGTCAAAATTGTAAATAACAATTTCATTGGTGCCAGCGGGGATCGAACCCGGGTTAAATGGTATAACTAAATTAACATGTGATTTTGTAAAAAAAATCATAAATATTTGCTTTTATACCATTTTATTTAATAAACTAAAAAAATATATTGTACATATTACTTTCGATCTTTTTTAAATTTTACACAAATTCTTGTACGCTCGGCAGTTAAAGAGAATATCGTGGGAATGCATCCAAGGCTAAAATAAACTATTCTGGAAGTTCTGAAATTCATACGTAACGTTTCAGCAAACCAACACAACAGCCCTTACCTATAACACAAAATGTAGATGTTACATCCAAAGAGGGAAGTAAACAAATGCTGCTTTTTACGCGGACGTATAATAAACAATTTATTTACTTACCAATTGGCAGGCCCGTGTCAATCGAGACCATATCGGCCATATTTGCTGGGTTCATGAACATCTCGTCATCCTGCGCCGCGTTAGTCATGGAGTCCGGTATCGGCCTGATGACCAGGTCGTGACCTATAGAGCCTTCCTGTAGAAAATAAAAAATATGAATTACACCCTTGAATTTGACCGAACCCAGGATGGGTTTTAAGTACAGACGAAACACCGCGGTTACACCTAGTTCTAGCCGGCTAGAAAAAGGTGCGGCCGGCAGTAGTTAAATTAAGTAGGTTAAATTTAGGTGTACTGTTAAATTTGTAAAAATACGGAAATACGTATCAAGTACTATCAGCGATAGTAGGTTAAGGTGTGGTTTTCACTATAGAAATTATAAGATTATATTCAAAACAATGATGATTTGAAGAAGGTGATGATGACGGTGCTTTAAACTCGTAGAACGATTGTGCGGAAAATGCGACAGAAGTAGTCATACATTCATCTGAAGCTACCCATATCCAATGAAACGCATATGCGATAAAATAGCAAGAATGGAACGCAGAGTCAGGAATAATGGTGATGCCCTCTCCTCAAAAAAAAATAGTAAAACACTATTAACATCATCATAAGCTTTTGACGTTAGGTAATGAGGGCATCCACAACTTTCTGCCACCAGGGCGGTGCCACTTAAAAGTGAGATATAATATTTGACAGATTACATAGCGGGGAAGTTAATTTGTTCGGAAAATGTAAAGGTTAATGTTTATTTCTGTATTGTTAGCTATATTTTATATCAAATAGATTAAAAATAAATAAACCAATCCACAGATATTCATTAAAGAAAAAAAGTTAAAAATGTCCGAAATAATTAAAGAGCAAACCACTGAGGCATTGTTTCGTGTATTAATATAATACTCTAGAAACTTTTATTAAAAAATAACTACTCAATTAAATGACATTGTGTAACAAAAAACTACCTCAGTGTGAACTAGCGACATCTGGTGAGCGGAATATTAGTAGCCCTCATTGTTTACTGACTTCTATCTTCGGCTTCACATCTTCATTGATGATGTTAAAAAAATAATTAGCTAGGATCAGCGTAAAAAAATAAAATATGTCTTAGAGTCTTACCTAGTATGAAGAGCACCTCCCGCCCTCTCGTAATCTCACGCAATTGAGGGATGGCGGGAGATGTTATTCAAACTAGGTAAGACACATCATTTCATTTATTACGCGGAGCTTGGTTAATTATTTTTTTAACATCTTTAATATTTTAATATTTCCGCAAATTAGCTCCTGATTCTATAAATTCACGTACTTATTCACTTTGCGCTGATCGTCGCTCCATTTAGTTAGGGGGTGTCGAATTTTTACTTGATGAATTTATGGGAATTTAATTTATCAAGAAACACGACAAAATAAAACATTATATTGATATTAATAATAATAATCACCGTGGAGTGGTGGTGTAAGAAAATTCGCTACCCCATATCGTCCCGTGGGTGTCGTAAGAGGCGACAAAAGAAACAAACCAGGAAATTGGCAGCAGTCTTTTTCTAACAACAAAAAATTGCGGCTGCCAACCCGACTGTCAAGCGTAGCAACTATGTAGCCCTGGTATGAGGCAATCTTTTTTTTATAGAATAGGGTGACAAACAAGCACACAGTCCACCTGATGGTAAGTGGTTGCTGTGGCCCATAGACATTTAAATCTATCCTCGTTTGCGAATCAAAATGCAGATGCGTTGTCACACGTGAGGACTAAGATGGAATGCCTCGTTTCCAGTAAAAAGGATCCCCGGTTCTCTACACTCACCATACGAAACACAGCAGTGTTAAGCTGCTATTTTATTGCACTCTATGAGGCAAGTCTATGTTTAGCAATGTAATTTTAATAGACTCTAACGGGTATGGTGTATTAATAACGAACTAAAAATATCTATACCATAGACTTCTTATTACATAACCTTATTATATATTTAAATGATTTATTACAATCATCATATTAAATAATGTGCCTATGTATCGATTCTAGATCAATACGGCAGCAGCCCGCTTTACTAGTTCCCCCACGCTTTTATCTCAGTTGTCATGCTATAGACCACACACATGTTATGTTTACTACGGCTATGTTTGCACCTTTGCAAAAAGAATATGGATACAAATTATTTTATCGGGATACTAGCTGCTCCCCGCGACTTCGCCCGCGTGCAATTTATTACGATTGGATTTAATGTGTTTTAATTTTTTTGTGCGGAACCCTAATTCTTTTTCTAAAATAAAAGTAGCCTAAGTCAGTGAAAGTTCCGTCAAAATCGGTCCAGCCGTTTCGGAGATTAGCCGGAACAAACAGGCAGACAGACAAAAAATTTTAAAAATTGTTTTTTTTTTTGTTATAAGTACCGTTTACGCGTACACTTTCGTATGCATTTAGTAAAAAGCCGTTATTTTGACATTACAGACACTTCAATTTAATTTATTTGGAATATCATCATCATCATCATTACAGCCCTTCACAAGTCCACTGCTGAACATAGGCCTCCCCCGAAGAATGCTACAAAGCACGGTCCTGAGCCACCTGCATCCATCGACTTCCTGCATGTCTCACCAGTTCGTCACTCCATCTAGTGGGGGGTCGCCCTACACTTCGCCTACCGGTACGCGGCTGCCACCTGAGAACCTTTCTTCCCCATCGGTTGTCGGTTCTTCGAGCTATATGGCCGGCCCACTGCCACTTCAGCTTACTAATCCGTTGGGCTATGTCGGGTACTCTGGTTCTACTGCGGATATCCTCATTTCTAAGTTTATCACGCAGGTACACCCCGAGCATAGCCCTCTCTATAGCTCGCTGAGCGACCTTGAGCCTCCTCATACGGCCAGCAGATTTGTAATAGATAATAGATAAATATTTTATTAGAATAAAGCTGTCACGTCTTGTTTATAAAAATGTTTCTTATTCACTAAAAGTCTAAAGTCTAAAATAGCAGATATAAAAGGTGTTATAATATGAAAACTTTTATAATAATTAAATATAATTTTTGGTAAGCATTGCTCTACTGAACTCAAGTCTCTCTTAACTTAAAACATATATAGCAAAGGATATTCTGGTTCTGCTGTAAACACCAGGCTTGGTATTGGTTGCTGCGGGCTGTTCGAAAGAGATACCGCGGCTCCGGAACGTAAGGGCACTGAAGGAACACGGATGGTTTTTAGTCAGTAAAAGTCTGACACTCCCTTCCGCTCCACCCAGAGCGAAAGGCGTCATTTGATGATTTTCCATCCGCAAAAAAAAAGGCTTGGTATTGGTTGGCAAATGTAGTTATGTAACCTAATTGTTGCTTTCGGTCACCGACATAAATATATATCTTTTCAAACTTTAGTAGTAGCTAGTTAACGTTTGAATTTAATTTCGTACAGAATCTATGAAATAGTTCTTTTTGGTCGATTTGTTTTTCATTTGTGTTAAGTTGTTTGTGGAAGTCTTACGTTAGCTTTTCCTATATCTATAATCTCGTAAGAAATAATATGGAAACGATACAAAGATAAACTATGAGAATTGCCCCTTTTTTGCTGAATTTACAATATGACTCAGATTTAAATATTACCGAAATTAGAGGGGGCGATCTGTTAAGAAATTCCTATGTAAGCATCCACATTAATCTGACAATAAAAAAATTAATTCTGATGATGTAGCTACTCTCAATGCTAATAATGCATCTAGGTAAGCTAGCAGTACCAGTTACTCCACTCCATCGAGTAAATAATTCATTCTTGGGGCGATGTGCTTTTACAACAAAATTGCAGAAAAAATACAAAATTTGACCTGCTCAAAGTTCAAAAACTTTATTAAACTAAGTTTGTGTAAAAAGGGTGATTATAATATTAAGGAATTTGTGGATGATAATAAGCCCTGGAAATGAGGTGATCGCTACCAAGCTATTTCTAATTTTTCTGTAGGTAATAGTGTACCATACATGATTGTAAGCTGTTATTTTTAAAAATAAGTCCCGCTGGGTTTCTTGCTAGTTCTTCCCAGGTTAGAGGTTTTTTTTCGAACCAGTGGTAATTAAACAAAAGAGTGACTTTCAATAAGTATTATTTATAATCTGTGTTGAATAAAAGAGTTTCTGTTTCTGTAGGGCCTACGGGCCTACCTGCTTTTCTCTGTAATATAATAAATTTTTTCAAAACCTGAAAGATATTTTCTTTTATTTCTTTGAGTGTCATTTCTTCTGCAATAACACTATATTTATAACTATGAATATTATGGAAATTCATGTTATTTTTAAATATGAGTTCCGAAGTGGAAGCAATTTGTCTCAAACAGCTTGCAATATCAAGGCGTGTACGGTACTGATTTAATCTGTTTTGTTCTAGAAATTTCGACTTCACAAATAAACCTCGTAGAAAAGATGGTTGATAATGTTGAACTGAAGGTGATTGTCGAAACGGATCTATTTCAAACTACGGCTGAGCTAGCGTTGGAATTTAATATAAGTATCAACGATATTCGATAATTTGCAGCAAATTGGTGAAATAAAGTAACTAAAGAAGCTTGACTAATGGATACCTCACTATATGAGTGACACAGCGAGAGGCCCGCGCCCAAACTTTTACATGGAATGGAGGAAATTTTGAGTCGCATTGTTACCTGCGATGCGAAGTGAATCCTACATGACAGCTGCAAGCGTTCTTCACAGTGATTAGAATCAGGTGGTTAGAAACAGTGCCAGAAACGAAAAATAACCCAGAAGAATCTTATGGTGACAATTTGGTGGTCCACTGTTGATATCATTCACTATAGTTTCTCGCTATCTGGTGCCACAGTTGCTGCTGACCGTTATTGCTAAGAAGTGCAAATTATGGTGGAGAAAATGGCTCTCAAACTACCCATATTGGTAAACTGTTCTTGAACTTGAGAATTTTCCCCAATAGACTTCTAAATTTTGATAGACAATAATACGAAGAAGCAGCAACGAATGCCTTTAAAGATTTCATCGATTCTCGTGCAGACTTCTATAGCAAGGGCTAAAACAAAGTGCCTATAAAATGGCAACAACGTGGGCAAGTATTTTGATTTATTCAAGCTTTTATTGTAGTTTTTTTATTTATTTTTTTCAGTACAAGGTTTTTTCGTATTTCCTATATGAACATTACAAAATATAAACAACAAATATATAAAAATTAATTATTAGACGGAAAGCGTTAATATATGGAAACATTCTGTATCTAGATGGTTAACACGTCTCAATGTCACAGACTACACAGGATTCATGGATGACATTCTCAGGATTATTTTGTACACGGTACGTGACCAGTTGACAGATTAGTGATGCACATACTATGATTAGCGATGTTATAACTAAAGAAAATAAATAAGCATGATTAAAATATTTTAAGTTGGTATTTCTATATATTATGTTTGTCTACAATCGGGTACGCGTGGCTTGTAAGTAAACCAACTCTACTGAGTAAGGATCATGCTATTACGATAGAGATAGACAAAAACAGTGTAAAATAACAATAAAATGTAGCTATTTTGCATCGTTTTTGAAACAACAAGTGCGACAAACGACAACAAAGTTTAGCTGATGGTGTACGTAGATGGTATTGGTCATAGACATTCACATCGATCCTCGATTAAAAATAATCAAAATGAGGATGCGTTGCGACTTGTGAACCTAGGAACAGTTTTTGAGTGAAAACACCGAGGAACTTACCAACATAGATAATGCTTTTGTTGTTGTGTTTGAAGAAGAATACCAGAAACGCCATTAATGTTACTAATATTTCTGCTAACTACACCAACCAATTTTTGAATTTTTGTGTCAGGAGTGGTATACGACAGTAGTTGTTTGGCTTTGAACCCAAGACATTTTAACACTTTCACTGCCCGATTTTAGAAATTAAGTAAAAGTTTTAAAAATTAAAATTAAAATTAAAAAAATAGCCACATAGCTCGAAGAAACGACAACCGATGGGGAAGAAAGGTTCTCGAGTGGCAGCCTCATACCGCCAGGCGAAGTGTATGGCGTCGTCGTAGATGGAGTAACGATCTGGTAATACATGCATGAGGTCGATGGATGCACGTGGCTTAGGACCGTGCTTTGTGGCATTCCTTGGGGGAGGCCTATGTTTAGCAGTGGACTTGTAGGGCTGTAATGATGATGATAAATGACAGTCCGATTTACAGACACAATAGCGAAACAATAGCAATGAACTATATGTAGTACACGGGACAGGGAATGGGTTATGTTTGCAGTCCGTATCCTTAACAATTGTTAGACTAATTAGATACTGTAACTTAGATAATGCTAAGTAAAAAAAAATTAGTTCATGGCTCTAGCGGGTAGCTTTTTTTTATAGAAGATTATCGGCAAAACACGGGTTGCATTACACACCACACAATGGTGCTTTTGCGTTGGATTTATTACGCTCTTTTTAAGTAATATTTTTTATTCAAAAAGGCACACGTTAAATTTCCGTTCTGCCTGGACATTTTTTTTTTATTGGAGAGGGGGCAAACGAGCATGCGGCTCACCTGATGGTAAGTGACTACCGCCGCCCATGAACAACTGCAACACCAGGGGAATCGCAGATGCGTTGCCTTTTAAAAAGGAGTAGGCTCTTTTCTTGAAGGTCCCTAAGTCGTATCGGTCCGGAAAAATCGCTGATGGTAATCGATTCCACAAGGAAGTCGTGCGAGGAAGAAAACATCTTCTAAATCGCACAGTGGTGGACCGCCAATCATCCAGATGGTGTGGATGGTATCGGGAGTTCTGCCGCGATGTGCGTTCGTGAAATTTGGCGGCTCGGATTAATCCGAACAATTCCTCAGAGCACTCCCCGTGGTAGATGCGAAAGAAAATGCAAAGGGATGCAACATCTCTTCGCAGTGCCAATGAATCGAGCCGATCGGAAAGGACTCGGTCGTTGACGATTCGAGCCGCTCTGCGATGGATGCGGTCAAGTAGAAGGAGCTGGCACTGGGGAGCCCCTGCCCAGAGATGGGAACAGTATTCCACGTGAGGCCGAACCTGCGCCTTGCAAAGTTGCAGGCGGTGTGCCGGCAGGAAATACTGTCCCGCTCTGCTGAGCACGCCAAGCTTTTTAGAAGCCAATTTGGCCTTCTCTTCCAAGTGACCGCGAAACTGCACTATTATTATGAGAGCACAGCTATTATTATGAGAGTGATATTGGTGCAATTTAATGTCTACGCATATGAAATAGAAGTTTATACGATGTGTAAAATAACTATAAACGATGATGTGCTACAATAGTTGATATAAATGTCAAGTTATTTTGTTCGCTTAGGCGCCGTAGACATTATTATGGCGGCATATGGCATTATGTGGCGTCAACGACTGTCTACTGACTTTATCTATTGTTAAATCTCCCAAAAATTTTGCGCATCCTGTAAATACTTTTATTAAATTTAAAGTTACAGCCTATATACGTCCCATTGCTGGGCACAGGCCAATGCGTGTTGGCGAACTTCGAAATATATTTGTTTTCCTTATTTCTCAAGCATGCAGGTTTCATCACAATATTTTCCGTTACCGCCGTGCACGTGGTAAATCAGCACTTAAAATTGCAATTAACAGTTTCATTGGTGCCGGCGGGGATCGAATCCGGGTTGCTCGCGTACTATGAAATTTACAGCGAGCGGGTAGCCCCTGAGCTATCACAGCTCCTAATTTTATTCACAAATTATTATAAAGTATAATTTCCAGTTACTTAATTCTGGGAACAGTATCGTAAGAGTTCATAACCAAAGAAAAAAACTACACACTTACCACCACGAGCTTTCCGTTTTTGGGATGCCTTCTGATGAGTAGAGCTGCACCATTTTCGTCATCGTGGTAGAGCTCACCTATTTCCTCGTCGTTTTCCTGAAAGCATTAAAATCCTGAATAAATTTATGTACACCCTATATAGCTTGGTGATGAGTGAGCCTACCTACTCGTTATAAACGAGATAAAATACTGTACGTATTTTATCTCGCTTATATGGCGTAGAGGTGGAGATAGTAGGACTGGAGATAGGGTGAGGAATTTTCTTACGGCGAAAGAAGTTAAATTATTAATTTGGCCCTAAACGCTACTAAGACCTCGGGGCTCGGTCATTTATTTTTTTCTGGAGTCATTTTTTCTGGAGTTATTTTTTTCTGGAGTTTTTTGCGGAAGATTTGTGACAGCATTGGAGAAGAAAATATAACCGTTAAAGAACCATTACCTTTAATTTCATTAACACAATTTAATTAATTTATAGTTTTGTTTAATATTTAAAAAAAATGTTTCACCCACATTGGTGATTCCTATCGGGAAATTGTCAATAACTATCTCGCTCGGAACAAATATTAGGCCACACAGACAAGTAGTTCAGGATTTAGGGAATTTAAGATGTTAGACTCTGTTCAGAATTTAAAAACAAACACAGCAGACACATTACTAATATGTTATATTTTAATATCTTTATACTTACAATACTTCTGTTTATGTGTTTGTTACTGAACCTTCCTTAATGAACCGATTCCGGTGAATTTTTTGTGTGTGTTTAAGTGAATCCCTTGGATCTGGCGAATCGCTAGTTTTATATAAATATATTTATTCGCCATTCAACTACTATCGTAAACCACCTAGCACAAGAAATTGAAGCTTACTTGGAGTTGTTAACTGGAGTATTAATAATTTTAATAGTGTTGCTAGTGTTCTTGTAATTATTAAAATATATTTGAAGGAAGTGAGTCACTTAATGATCATACAATAGATCAGACGAATTGGTGATGTCTGTTGGAAGTCAAATGCAAACTATTTTGCAAATAGATTTAGATAAAGCTGTATAGCATATGTTTATGCCGTAAAATATCAATTTAAATATTGTCAAATTATTATCAAATAAATAAAAAAAAAATACATTCCGCCCCGGTCATCTACAAGAAAAAACTAGTGCCAGGCTAATTTAAGGTACAATCAAAATTCTACTCAAATGACCAATGGCCACGGTAATTAAAATGGTAGACGATATATGTACAGAATTTTGATTGGGGACCTTTTTCCACGCGTGGGTGAGTCGATAAATTTACGAACAATCAACGGAAGCGATGGTGATAAGTAGGTATTTTTCCAAACTGAGAATTTGATTCTCCATTGCCAAACGTCTCATTGCCTAATGTGGGGTAACGTCTTTTAAAAAAAAAATTTTTTAAAAGACGTTACCCCACATTAGGATTTTCTCCTGTGTCGTGGAGGCAGTGTACAAACATGAATTGCACGAGGATAAACATCCAGACCCGGAACAATTATTTGTAGGCCATACAAATACTTGTTCCGTGCGGGATTCGAACCCGCGGCCCCTGCGCAACAACTCATTGTTAAGCCACTGCGTCATAGATAGAGCCGTCAATTTTTTTTTAATTTACTTATATATTATATTTTATATTTAAAATGTAGTTTTGTACGTCATTGAATTGAACTAGATAGAGTGACTACCTCGAGATGCAGGTGGCCCACGATCATGCTTTGTGGCATTCCTTAGGGGAGGCCTATGTTCAGTACAGGACTTGTGGTGGGCTGTGCTGATGTTGATGAAGTTATTCAATTTATTATTTACAAACTAAATTTATTCTGTTGATCTAAGAAAAGACTAACTTTTCTTTTTATAAATTGCTGCTATTTTACGCTAGTATTCTGTGAGAGCGTGGTCCTACTCCAGTCGAGCCGACCCATTCGTGCTGCAACAATAATATAGCGGCAATGTGACTCTACCACATAAAAAATCAACTTGCTTATAGGTTGACTGGTAGAGAATGACAAGACCTTTGTACATTTTGTGCAAAAGTCTAAATAATTAAATAAATAAATATGGTTTCATCTTAAGTTGCTAGAATTTATTTATATTGTTTTAATTTTTAATATTAGATTTAAAATCAATTGATTAGCTAATAACCTCATTAATACATAGACAATACTTCAAAACAAAGGTCACAAATTACGTTGTCACCCCTAAGGATTAAGATGAAATGTCTATTTTCCCATCCGCATGGCAGTGCCGTGTAGTGGCGGTCAAGAATATCCACTACCCCATATCCTCCCGTGGGTGTCGTAAAAGGCGACAAAGGGAAACAGGCAGGAGATGGGCAGCAGCATCTTCCTGATAATAGCCAAATTACAATAAAAAAACTGCGGTTGCCAACCCGCTCGCCAAGCGTGGCAACTATGGCAAATACCCCCCTATGAATGACAGTAACAAAGAAACGGCCCCCAGTCCCCGGCGGCCCCGCTATTCCTGGCTACGGTGGCGGCCATGGTAACGGCGGGACAGGGGGTGCTAAGAATCTCCGGTGGAGGTTCGGTTGCCACCTTAGACGACTCGACCTGGCAACGTACAACGCACGCACCCTGAGGACTGACGAGAAGATCGTGGAGCTGGAAGAAGAGATAGACAAGTTGCGCTGGCATATTATAGGATTATCCGAAGTCCGAAGAGAGGGGGAGGACACGGTAATCCTCGAATCCGGCAACTTGCTCTATCACCGGGAGGGCGACCATCTGTCCCAAGGAGGTGTCGGATTTATCGTCCACAAGTCTCTCGTTAACAATTGTGTCGACGAGGGTTGCGTACCTTATACTCAGAATCACCAAACGGTATTCGCTGAAGGTCATACAGGTTTACGCACCAACCTCGACACACCCCGATGAGGAGGTGGAGGAAATGTATGAGGATATCTCTAGAGCCATGCATTCTTCCAAAACCCAATATACGGTGTTAATGGGAGACTTCAATGCAAAACTAGGCACAAGAGAGAACGGTGAGCTGAAAGTAGGGAAATTTGGAATAGGGCAACGGAACCCAAGGGGCCAGCAGCTGGCCGACTTCATGGAGAAAGAGGGACTCTTTATGATGAACTCTTTCTTCCAGAAGCGGCCCCACAGGAAGTGGACCTGGTCGAGCCCCGACGGTTCCACAAAAAATGAGATTGACTTCATTATGACGACCAGACGACAACTGTTCAGTGATGTCTCCGTGATCGCGAGGGTGAAAACTGGTAGCGATCACCGAATGGTTAGAGGCACACTGAACCTAAACGTTAAGTTGGAGAGGTCTCGTCTAATGAAGTCAACGCTCCGTCCCCCTCGTGCTCTGTTCCAAAGTCCCGAAACCTTACAGCTCGAGTTACAAAACCGTTTTCAGTGCCTGGAAGACTGCAATGAAGTGGACGATATGAATGACAAACTCGTGGAAACTGTCCATGCGGTCGGAGCTAAGTTCTGCAAGACCCGCCGCAGAAGAACACAAAAACTCTCCGATCACACTCTTAATCTCATGGCTGTTAGACGGGAGATGAAGCTACATTCTTCAACAGACTTGACAGCATACAGGCATCTGAACAGACAGATCTCCAAATGCATGCGGCGGGACTTACGCAACTTCAATACAGCTCGTATTGAAGAAGCGATCGAGCGGAACCAAGGCTCCAAAGTCTTTGCCAGAGATCTGTCTGCCAGAAAGAGCCAACTGTCAAAACTGAAGACAGAGTGTGGCAGCATCGTTTCCGGGACACCTGAGATTTTGAGTGAGATTGAGAGGTTCTATGGGCAGCTGTACACATCATCGTTGGAGCCACACGCAAGTGTGAGTAACGATCCAAGAGCGAGTCTCATCCGACACTATTCCGAAGATATCCCGGATGTCAGTCTGAGCGAGATTAGGATGGCTCTCCAGCACCTTAAAAACGGTAAGGCCCCAGGCGAGGATGGAATTACAGCGGAGCTTCTGAAAGCGGGTGGAAGACCGGTACTTGAAGTCCTTCAGAAGCTCTTTAATTCTGTCCTCCATGGTGGCATTACACCGGAGGCGTGGAGCAGAAGTGCGGTGGTCTTGTTCTTCAAGAAAGGTGACAACGCTCTCTTGAAGAACTACAGACCGATTTCCCTTCTGAGCCGCGTCTACGTGCTGTTTTCGAGAGTCATTACGAATCGTCTCGCGCGCAGACTTGACGACTTCCAGCCTCCCGAACAAGCCGGTTTCCGAAAGGGCTTTAGCACCATAGACCACATACATACCCTTCGGCAAGTTGTACAGAAGTCCGAAGAGTACAATTTGCCACTATGTCTGGCGTATGTGGACTATGAGAAAGCCTTTGATTCCGTCGAAATTTGGGCGGTGCTGCAGTCCCTTCAGCGGTGCCAAGTTGACTGTCGGTATATCGAAGTGTTGAAGTGCTTGTACAGTAGGGCTACGATGGCTATCCGAGTACAGAACCAGAATACGAAACCTATCCAATTGCAGAGAGGTGTAAGACAGGGTGACGTCATATCCCCGAAACTCTTCACCGCTGCATTGGAAGACGTTTTCAAGCTTCTGGACTGGAAAGGATACGGTATCAACATCAATGGCGAGTACATCACTCACCTTCGATTTGCCGACGATATAGTCCTTATGGCAGAATCGCTGGAGAACCAAAGCTCTATGCTCAATGACCTCAATAGTGTTTCCCAACGGATAGGTCTTAAGATGAACATGGACAAAACAAAGATCATGTTTAATGTCCATGTCACACCTATGCCGGTAGTTGTTGGGAGCACTAAGCTCGAAGTTGTTGACGAGTATGTTTACCTGGGACAAATAGTCCGACTAGGTAAGTGCAACTTCGACCGAGAGGTCAATCGACGGATTCAACTCGGCTGGGCAGCGTTCGGGAAGCTACGACACATCTTCTCGTCAGACATACCTCAAAACCTTAAAACGAAATTGTACAACCAGTGCGTGTTGCCAGTGATGACTTACGGAACTGAGACGTGGTCCTTCACTGCTGGCCGTATGAGGAAGCTCAAGGTCGCTCAGCGAGCTATGGAGAGGGCTATGCTCGGAGTTTCTCTGCGTCATAAAC